AGTTTGGGGTAAAAATCTGTTCATATTAATTCCCTAATAAGCATAATAATTCATAATTTTTTGGTTCTGTTACATTGCGCAGACCTCATTAGTTTTACACTCAAATCTGGTCATATTAATTTTCTGATTTGCATAATTAGTTTTCAGCTAAGTAATTTCGAATTATATTTAATGTGTCTCCAATACTCTCAGCACATGGGAGTTCTTTCTAAGCTTTCTTTGATTTATTTCATGTAACAAAAAGTACGGTACAAGGCTTTTACAAATGCGAAATAAAAACATTACAAAAAATCTCTCAACATATTTTTTATCAGACTTCCAAATTTTGGAATAACCATAGTTTTCAAAAATTGCCTGAAAAAGTGCCATCCATGGGTGCTCATTCTTTTCTGACAACTGTTCTACCCAACTAACTTTTAATGATTTTGAAAAAAATAACAAATCGGCCATATTCAATCCATATTTAAAAGCCCCTTCCCCCTTTTGCAAAGTAAAATTACAATACAAACTAATTACACAATGATCTGAACGATATCTATACAATATATCGGATTGTTTAACAAATGTAGCAATATCCAGGTAACAAGAAAATAGTCTAGATGACTTTGCTTCAAGGGGTTCATTTTATGCTAAGTGAAACGAAAAGTATCCGAGTGCATATCTCTCCAAATATCACACAGATCAAAAACTTCTTCTTTCATTTTTTCAATTTCGCTTCTTGCTTTTGGATTATTACAGGTATTATAGCCTTTAGAATCTAAATCATAACCGGGAACTACATTCCAATCCCTGCATAAAATAATACTTAAATTACCAAAATCGTCTAGAGTATTTGTGATTTCTTCATAAAAGGTTGGGTTATCAATATTAGGACCATAAATGCTACCCATTGTAAAAAGGTGATTGTGATTTGTTACATCAAGAAAAAGAAAATTACCACATGCATCCCCTCTATATTTGTGTACAATGAGCTCAATATCGTTTTTGAAAAAGATCCAAACTCCTCGCGAATCCACTTTATATGCACTAAAGTAGCATTTTCCTCCCCATTTTAATTCCAATTTTCCTTCCTCCCTCTCCAACACGACAATGAATATCCTATAAGCAAAAAATGGAACACTCCTTATTTTTTAACCAGCAGAACACTACAAGCCTGAATGCTTTGATACTTGGTGTATATGTACCTTGGGTAGACCTCTCTCAGATTTGTTCATTTCATGATGATATCTTTAATTCTCTAATTTTGGTGAATATTTTTGTAATTTTTGGTAAAAAGTGATATTTTTGACTTCTTGTTAAAAACCGTAAGTCCAATTGCTTTGATATTACATATTATATAGGTACTACATGTGTATCTTTCTCAGATTTGTTCATTTTGTAATAATATCTTCAATTCTCTAATTTTGGTGAATATTTTTGTCATTTTTGGTAAAAAGTGATATTTTTGACTTCTTGTTAAAAACAACAAGTTCAATTGCTTTGATATTACATATATAGATACTACATATGGACCACTCTCAAATTTGTTCATTTCATGATGATATCTTCATTTCTCTAATTTTGATGAATATTTTTGTCATTTTTGGTAAAAAGTGATATTTTCTTCTTGTTAAAAACCACAATCATTTATGGTTAAAAATAATATTTTTGAATTCTTGTTGAAAACAGCAAGTCCCATTGCATTGATACTATGCATATTGTTCATTTTCTAATGATATCTTCTGTTCTTTAATTGAAATGTGCATTGCTAACAGCGGAGCTATCTCAGCCGAGAGGCTGCTTGTTCACTAGTGGGACAGCCCCTAACATTTAAAGATAAAATTTTAGTATCACCATTTCACAAATTATTTTCACAATGATTATTGCATATAATAATGCCCCAACCCAAGACCTGAACAACAAAACAACAAAAACAATATTTGACCATACACGAAACCGAAGTTACCAAAAAATATTGGTTAAAACTCCAAAAAGAAAAGGATAAGAATGAAAAATAATCTAGGCGATGTCGTCAGATCAAAAAGAAAACAAATAGTAAGCGAATGCTTATCTAATGATCACATGTCACAGGGCACTTAGGTTGATAATTAACAAAATAAACCAAGTAGCATTTTTTTCACTACTAATTTACAGAAGGATATGTACCGAAAATATGTTCACCCTAATGAAGACTTGCTAAATTTACATGATAAAAGTAACGTTTTTATAAGAGACACTATGTGCAATAGTGAATAATTTGCGAAAATCAAAAACATTTTATTCAATCACTGCGGCTTGAAAAGTTCATAAAAATTACATACTTTGTGCCCATATTACACTTGCACTACTCGACAAAAAAAACATGTTTTTCCAAAAGAAAAGAAAAATGACAAGTTAAATGCACGTACATATCAGAGTACACAATAAACTAGTTACGTCAACTCTGCAATGTTTTAACACGTGCATCTTCATGATATTTCAATACTGCTGGGTACGAAATGAAAGGATGGCTTCCAGGTTTTTCATGCTTTCAATGTCGCAGCTTAGGAACAAGTTGTTTACGGGTCGCACATGTTGCATCACAAAAATCTTAAATATACTGTTCCCTTGAAAAGGTTTGGCCACCAAACACTACACCGCACTTTTTTGTACGTTTTTCTTGTGCTGGAAACGCAGAAATGCTACAGAAATTGGATGGGGCTGCTTCCTCCCTGGTATAAAATATGTTGGAACTCTATGCGCCCGTTCGATTTCTACGTCACAGTTTATTCTAGATTTTGTGAAAAACCACATGGACCACTCATTTCCGATTTTTCAGGGACATTATAAAATATTAAATTGTTACGACGCAATTTGTCTTACAAGTCATTTTGTCGCACTTTTAGATCCTTGACTTCAGTTTTACTAACCTTTTCGTTCGGCATGCGCAATTCCACCTGGTCTTCTTGTATCTTAATCAATTGGGACTCCATTTTTTCCATTCTGTCCAATCTTACTTCTATTTGTTGCAACCTACTAAGTATCAAATCTAATTTCTGAGACCTTGACCGCGTTTGAAACTTCCAGTATTGAGTCATTCAATGGCGTCTTACTTCACAAAAAATAATCAATTGACTGGACCGACACTGGATGCGATGTTACCAAACCGGACACATGCGTAACTAGATATGTAACCTTTATAGGTATTGCAGACTTGGCTTATGTACATCTGTGTTTAACCCTCAAAAGTACCAGGATGTGTAACCTTTATAGGTATTGCAGACTTGGCTATGTACATCTGTGTTTAACCCTCAAAAGTACCAGGATGTGTAACCTTTATAGGTATTGCAGACTTGGCTTGTGTACATCTGTGTCAAACCCTAAAAAGTACCAGGATGTGTAACCTTTATAGGTATTGGTGATTTGGCTTATGTACATCTGTGTTTAACCCTCAAAAGTACCAGGATGTGTAACCTTTATAGGTATTGCAGACTTGGCTTGTGTACATCTGTGTCAAACCCTCAAAAGTACCAGGATGTGTAACCTTTATAGGTATTGCAGACTTGGTTTATGTACATCTGTGTTAACCCTCAAAAGTACCAGGATGTGTGACCTTTATAGGTATTGCAGACTTGGCTTGTGTACATCTGTGTCAAACCCCTCAAAAGTACCAGGATGTGTAACCTTTATAGATATTGCAGACTTGGCTTATGTACATCTGTGTTAACCCTCAAAAGTACCAGGATGTGTGACCTTTATTTGTATAGATATTGAAGGTTTATGTTAATCTGTGTTAAAACGTGTGTCTTATTTGCAGGTGATATTGCTGAACGTATTTTAAAGGAAAACACAGATTTTGGTCTACCTATAGAAACGCAAAATAGGTAAGTGTTATTTATATTTCATGGTAGAAGGTGATATATACTGGATTCTGCCATAAATTCGCCCATCCGAAAAATCGTCCTGGGCGGTTACACAGCTGGTGGGCCCTTATTTGGGGTTCAACATTTCAAAAAATGATCATCAAATATTTTAGGGGGCTTATATTTTCATTGAAAAATCCACCTACACCGATTTTCAACACTGGCAGTTGGGCCACAGAAGCTAATCTAAAATCTTATAATTTTTTTTTTGCTGGATTAAAAAGTAGACCGTGCATCTTTCTCTAAAAAAATCACATTAATGAACTTCATGTGCTGAATACAATAATCTTGTTTCATTTTATTAGTAATGAAAGTAAAGTTTCAAATAAAAACGAACCCAACTGCATTGCTTAGTAACAAATGATCGCTGTAGCGCAATCCTGTCATGCTGCGTTTCACAATTGTTGATTATTACCTAGTAATGATTATAATAACATGAAAAAATAAATTCGTTGAATTGTTATGAAAGGCAAATAAATTTTAACTTGTTTTATCGTAAGCGAATGATTCTGATCACATTTTCAACGCTCGATACTATGCTGTAGAAATGAATATCCACCATGTTTTGACCTGATAGGTCAAATTGCTAATTAACCAATGAAAATTATGGATGATGCCAACTTGTTCAAATTACCATAGCTGATTTAAATATGTTAATGTCATTGAACACAGCACAGACATTTGCCGATGTTGTTGTATGATCTTTTGGCTTGTATTTTGATGGAAAAGCAGCATGATTTGTTTTTAAATAATAAAAGTAGTTGTTTTCAAAAGATAAACTGAGCATTTAAAGAAAAATTTAACATTTTTAGTCCCCGTTCGGACACAGTCCGAAAACAGGGACTTATGTTTTGACCTCCGTGTGTTCGTGCGTGTGTGTGTGCGTGCGTGCGTCTGTGCGTGCGGCCGGACTTGTATCTTAGAAATGCCTTGACCAATCACAATCAAATTTGACACATACATCATACATGATATTATACATATGCACGTCAATTTGTTTCATGTTCTGATTCAAGATGGCCGAATGGCGGCCATTTTTGTGCTAAAAAACATCAAAATCAAGCATTTCTTGGCTGTTTACAGATGGATTTTGTTCAAACTTGGTATATACATTAGACATTCTAGGACCTTGATGAACATCATTTGGTTTTACGATCTGATTCAAGATGGCCGAATGGCTGCCATTTTTGTGCTAAAAAATCCTAAAAATCAACCATTTCTCGGTTGTTTACAGATGGATTTTGTTCAAACTTGGTATGTATATACATTAGACATTATGGGACCTTGATGCAAATAATTTTGTTTTTCAGATAAGATTCAAAATGGCCGACTGGCGGCCATTTTGTATTAATGAATGTGGTTCTCGTGCCATATCTCTGACTTGCTTTCACTGATTATGTTCAAATTTTAAATATTCATGTCCTATGCATCATGTCCTAGATAGACAGATATATTGGTTTGACGATCCTATTCAAAATGGCCAAATGGTGGCCTTTTTTGTGCTAAACAATCATCAAATATCAAGCATTTCTGGCATTTATGAGTGGATTTCGTTCAAACTTGGTACATACATTAGACATTACGGGTTCCTGATGCTCGTCATTTTATTTTTCAGATTGGATTCAAAAATGGCTGACTGGCGGCCATTTTGTTTTAATGATTGGGCTTCTAGAGCCATATCTTTTAAATGCTTTGTCTTATTATATTTAAATTTTATATATTTGTTATACATCATGTTATATATATATACATGTATTCAAAATGGCTGATTTTGAATGCTGTTCCTGAACAATATCTCTCAATATGGACAAGTACTTGTTTGACGATCTGATACAATCAATCATTTTAATGTTAAAAAAATCATATTCCTGACATGGTTATATTCCAGTTATATTACTATAAACAAAACTATATATCTTAAATTTGATAACTAACGGGGACTGTGCCATGCATGGCTTGTTTACAGTGATAACAGCTCATTGTCGAAACGAAACTTCCCCATTCACGCTAGTCGCAATAAACATCATACTCTTGAATAGGCGTCAATGTGAAACTTTAAGGCATCAGAAAAGATTAAGATGACACTTTAAAAAACTGCAGAAAAATTGATTTCTTGGTCTCATTTTATTTTCTAAAAAAAACAGAACTGCCGCTTAACAGCCCAGGGTGAATTGACGGCAGAATCCGGTACATGTATGTAACAATAATAATCTTTATTGTGTTCGTTTCCCTATTAGAATTTTTATTAAAATGCAATACAGATGTGAAGAAAGACAAACATGCATAATAAGAATTAAGAAAAAAAACAACAAAACTGAAAAGCAAATTAAAGTTGAAAAAATAATGAAATATGTATGTTAGCTTGTAATATCTATACTATATGGCTCAGAAATTTGGGGTTTTCATTCATCAAATCATGTCTATAATAAAATGATGAGTTTCTTGCTGTACAGTTACCTCGCTGTACAGTTACCTCGCTGTATAGTTACCTCGCTGTATAGTTACCTCGCTGCAGTTATCTCGCTGTACAGTTACCTCGCTGTACAGTTACCTCGCTGTACAGTTACCTCGCTGCACAGTTACCTCGCTGCACAGTTACCTCGCTGTACAGTTACCTCGCTGTACAATTACCTCGCTGTACAGTTACCTCGCTGTAGTTACCTCGCTGTACAGTTACCTCGCTGTACAGTTACCTCGCTGTACAGTTACCTCGCTGTACAGTTACCTCGCTGCAGTTACCTCGATGCACAGTTACCTCGCTGTACAGTTACCTCGCTGTACAGTTACCTCGCTGTAGTTACCTCGCTGTACAGTTACCTCGCTGTACAGTTACCTCGCTGTACAGTTACCTCGCTGCACAGTTATCCTCGCTGCACAGTTACCTCGCTGTAGTTACCTCGCTGTACAGTTACCTCGCTGTACAGTTACCTCGCTGTACAGTTACCTCGCTGTACAGTTACCTCACTGTACATTACCTCGCTGTACAGTTACCTCGCTGCACAGTTACCTCGATGCACAGTTACCTCGTGCACAGTTACCTCGATGCACAGTTACCTCGATGCACAGTTACCTCGATGCACAGTTACCTCGCTGTACAGTTACCTCGCTGTACAGTTACCTCGCTGTACAGTTACCTCGCTGCACAGTTACCTCGATGCAGTATCTCGC